TTCATTCCGGAGGTAGTAACCACTATAAATCTGGCCATGTGATAAGTAGCAGCTACGCAAGAGGAGGGGAGAGGGGATTATGTGGTGATGTCATATAAGACGTCTGATTTGTAGTCATGCTAATTATGAACTTTTACAAGCTGATAGGGCTGCACAATATATCGAAAAATTATCGTCATCGCAAAACACGGCAAAAACAGCGATAAATGTTTGGTTCAAACATTTCCATCTGTGTCATACATCAGCTTTTTGTAAACCAGCTCTGTTTTTTACGCGGAAGTATTATTTGACCAATCAAATGTAGCTCTTCTGATATGTGGCCAATCAGATGGTTCCGTTCACGTAATACGCCCGCCCCCTACATAGACTCTTTTGGAAAGCAACACCCGAACAGAGTTTGCGGCGCTGTTCCCTTGTTCGTCATGCTGGCTCAGAGCAACGAACACACTTTGTGCTGATGTTTCTGGAATCAGCGCTGCTTTCAAACGTGAACGTGAGTCCACTCGGTGTCGTTAATCATTTTTACCGGGCTGACTCCGATACGTGCCGGTGAACCAACCCACCTTCATGTCGCTAGTGTTCCACCAGGTGGTGATGGTTAAAAGGCTACAGCACTCTCCTCCCAGTCCCACCCTGCTAAAGAGGGCCTGGAAAAGTTCCCCCACACATCAAAGTGATTTTTCATTTATGAGCTTTTATAACCTTTTTAATCAGGATAGTTGATTTGCTGCTGCACATAAACTGTCAGTCAGAAGCTCTGCTAGCCGGTTATCTTAGCTAGTTCAATTTGTTAGCTTGTTATCAGAATCATAGCTGCAGTTTCATCATCTGAGCTGCTTTTTAAGATCTAGGTAAACTTGTTCAATTTGGGGTTAAAAACAAACGTTTTCACATATTTTCCATGTAATTTTTTTTTTGCCAGTTCCTCTTCTGAAAGGTAGACAATTGTTTTTTTCTTTCCCTCAGAAAATCTTAATATTCTCCTAGTTTGGCCCATCACAGTTCACTTCCCAATTACAGCAACGGCCTTATATCATAACCACATAAGTGGAGAAAATGCTCAGTAGCAATGAGAGAATTTGCTGTTGCATTTAAGTGATGTTAACTATTATTTAACATTCAAACTTATTTTCAGATTTTTTTTATTTATTCAAATAACCCTGGTAAGGGATGTTTTTCTGTATTTGGAGCATCAGAAAAATTTTTATGGTGGAGGTGATGTTTTAAAGTCACTGAGAAACTGCATGCATGCAGTTTGTTGTTTTGCTGCTAATACAGTAGCAGGTGCAGCTGCATATTTTTGCAATAAAAATGTTATGTTGTAATGGAATTCATGCATTAGTTTTTGTTTGCTTTGAACCCAGAGCAGACATCACACGCCGGATGACATCAACACTGCATACTTTAGTATTTGTTCATTTATCGTGAGTAATATCGATATCGCAATATTAAGCACTGTTATCGAATATCTCAGCTTTTCCTAATATCGTGCAGCCCTACAAGCTGATAAATCTCAAAGTGGTCAAAACACACATCATTCCTTTTCATTTAAATTGAAGTAGAACATATGTGCGGTCCAGGGCGTAACCCAAAGCGAATTAGAAAACAGCTCTTTCAGTCCCGTTGACTTGCATTCATTTTATCATTCTTCCGGGGACCCACGAACCGACCGGAAAGGGTCTTAGGCTCCCTATATCAAGATGAGTTTTTGACTATTTGCTGATCAACAATAACCTCAATGAAACAAATGTTGCTGCTCAGCTCCCTAGGAAGGGTCATGAAACCATCTCCAAAGGAGTCCATTGGTCTACAGTAAACAATGCAATCAGTTGAAAACATTTCAAATTGTTACCAACAATAAGAAAAATCCAAGAATTTCCTGGTATAAAAAATCACAACAGTGCAATTGGAAACAAAGACAGGCATAAAACTTGATCTGAATCCAAAGACTAGTGGGGTGGTGCAACGCAGAACACCTACCCGAGCTGTGAAGCATGGAGTTGGAATGATGATGATTTGGGCTTGTTTAGAACAACAGGACTTTGCCGTCATACACAAGGTTAAAATATGGATTTAAATGCTAGTAAAGACCCTGATGTTTGCATTTTGACCTTTTTAATTCAAAAATTATGAAGTTATTATTCCTCATTTTACAACCTGGCTATGATCATGTTATCATGCTTGTATGTACTAAACCTTAGATTTAATAAAGCAATTTTTGCTGCTTTTGCCCAGATATTGTCATCATGTAAAACAGTAAATAAAGAGACATCTTTAATGTTGGGAAACGGGGGGAAAGTCAAGTGAGGGAAACAAATCCAGCTCCAAACAAGTTTGGAAACAGAGCTCCAGGAGCTACCCAAACCAGGCTGCCAGACCTCTCTGGAGCTGGCAGGAGGAGCTGGCCGAGCACAGAGATGGAGAAAGAACAAGAAGCATACAAGAAGTCGATGACAGAAAGAGTTTTCATTACACAAAAACACTTATCCCCCTTCTCTCCACTTTCTGGCTCTTGTTTAATCTCGCTGGTGTTGAAATGTTGCAGGTAAAAGTGGCAGATAAAGATAACTATCTCAGGCTGAATTACTCTGAATTCCATTATCGTGACTGACAGTGACACATTTGTGGGAGGAGAAACAAAGCAACGCATAAGCCTTCAACACCGGGTGATTTTTGCTGTGTGTGCGGGTGTACGGGTGGGAGGGTGCTATCCATCTAGAATTGCTGGAAGATTAAAACAGAAGGATGTCTCCCAGAAGCTCACAAGTCCCCGCTGTCATTCGCAAACACACACACACACACACACACACACACACACACACACACACACACACACACACACACACACACACACACACACAAACATATATGACAACATTAATCAGCTCCTTGTCAAGCCCATTATGTCCTGTTCCTAATGAGAAAATCGCCCAGCTTGTGCCCTGACACGAGCCGTCAGGGCAGGCTAAAGATCAGGACGGGCACTCGCGTGTCGCTGCTCTGCTTTGAGCCACACTGAAATGACAAATGACAGACTTCCAGTATCTCTATTAAAGAAGGTTTTTGTTCTGTGGGTTCAGCCACCGTGCTCTATACAATCACCACAAAACAGTTCTCTGACAAGCTGCCGTTAGCATACCTACAGTATTTTTTCTTTGCTCTGCTTTTTTGGAGGGAGGAGTTGTTGGCAGATGAGTCACCACTCCATACCACAAAAATACATCTTGTTTTTTTTATTTTTACTTTATTTGCTTAATCAGTGGAGTATTTTGGGACATAGGTAATTAGACCTGCTTCATCTCCCTTTATCTTTCCTTTTAATCAAAATTCAGCATTGATTTGGTTAGTTTGGGACAAAAGTTTCACACTAAACCTCTTGGTGCTAAATTTGGATAAAATAAATAAGCCTGAATACTCTACTTGTCTGTGTTCATAACACGCTGATCATGTTTCAGAAAGTAACCCTAAAATAATTCTGTTTAAGGACATTTTAGATGCAGCTTTGGCACTCCTAAATTACAATCCGGCTCCATTTAGCATTAAAGAAGCAAAATGTTTTCAAAGATGGAACAATAATGACAGGCCAAAATGGCCCACAAACCAGTCAACTTTGAATCATTGCATGCCAAAATTAAACATAAATTTCTTCAAATATGATGTTTTGACTTTAAAACAAGCTTTTATTTTGAAAGCGACCACTACATCCACTGTCTATCAGCAGCAGATGAAACAAATTTTCTGTTCATCATCACGTTTATGCTTTGATATAACAGTATAAAAGTTACTTATGGGGCCCCTTAAGAAAAATAACTGCCCACCCCTGAGGGGGGCCCATGTTTATCATAATTTTATGTACATTAGATTGATAAAAGTTAATCTTCTTAATTTTTATTATTTTTATTTTATTATAATGAGGTGAAACTTAACATTTGTTTTCACATTGATAGGAAAGAGATTAATTTAGGGGTTTAAGGGATTTGTTGTGACTCATTCTTTAATCATTACTAACAAACATGTCCAGTTAAATTGCTGATTAATTAAAGTTCACAATTACCTTTTGCCTGGTCAGCTGTTTAAAAAAATATTATATTCAAACTGGATAGAACTAAGAGGGGTGCCATCAGCTGCTGGGGGCTGAGGACCTCTAAAGGTCACATCCTAGAGTCGCCCCTGGAAGTTAGGTGACGGAACATTTTGGGTGTTTGGGGCTTTTATAATTGATATTGTCCATTTGCCTTCAAACCAAGTGCAAAGACAAGGTCATTGTGGTAAAAACTTTTTTTTCCTCACCATTAAACGACTGGGTGTCTGAGTCAACAGCAGGGTTTGAGCGCGCGCCGCTGTGCCTCGGGCTACTCTTCCAATAGTTTTAATCTCTCATGGCTCTCTGGGAGAGCACCATCTCCCAACACTCTCTTTAAAAGCAGAGGCCAAATACCCTTCTGCTGCTATTACTGCTGCTAGGCTGATCTCCTCCTTCTGTCACGCCAATTTAACCACAAACTAGAGCGCGCGCGTGCGCACACCGACAGCCACATCTGTGCGCGGACACCAGAATCTCCCAAATGGCGCAAACAAACTGAAATAACTTAAATAACGAACTTTTTTCTTTCCCTCTCCTCTCTCTCATCGCCTGTTTCATCCACGCGCGCCCTATTTTTTTCACATCTCCGCCACTCACGCGCTCGTGTGAGCTGCACGCGCCGCCTTCCTCGTGCGGACAGCAAGTCTCTGTGCAAACTGCAGTGCGGCAGCGCCTCGCTATTTTAAGAATAATTTTACATGAAGTGAATAAATATTTAATCTCCTTTTCAGTGTTAAGGCAGCCGGAGCGGATAAAGGACGGCTGGTTGGAGGCTAAATTCTCACAGGGCAGCGGCATGTTTGACACAATTGATCCAAAAATTCAAAAAATACTAATAACCCCCCAAAAAATTTTAATAAACACTTGGAGAACTCTCGCTCGAGCGCTACAAAGCTCCAAAACACACCCTACTCACCTCTCCGGAACATCCTGGCAGCGGCTGAGGACCGTCTGTCTATCCGAGCTGAAGTAGCATCCTGCGTCCCGAGCAGCTCTGGATTCGGTTGTTTTGATTGCTTCTGGTCCCCTCGGTGGCTGATTTCTGCTCAGTAAAAGAAATCGGTGTCCCCTCCAAAATAAAATAGAACAGAGGTGATATGGGGGAGGAAGTAGAGGATCCGTTTGGTGAAAATAATAGCAAAATCATCCACCAATGCCAACGAAGTTGTCCGCAATCTCTCTCTTTTTATTTTTTTTTTTATGAAATAGACCAAAAAATTGATGGAAATAAGCTGGTCCCGTCCCAACGCACTCGGAGTAAGATTTCAGCTCATCGCCATCTGGTGTTTATGAATTAACAAGATACATGACTTTATTTCAATCACGTACAAATATGTTGTCCAAAAGCCCAAATAAAAAGAAAAGTTCAGTTACGTCCTGATCACCGTGCTCCTGTCGGGTTTTCAGCTGCAGGTCTGAAGCATGAGTCAGTTCCGTCTTCTGTCTCCGTTACCGGAGAGCACCGAGGCTTCAGCCCCCCCTCCCTCCCGCAGTGAGATGTGTCTGATGAATGCCACAGCATCTCTCTCTCCTCCCGCTGTCTCTACAAAAGAGTTTCTCTTTTATTGGTATGACAGGAAGATATGTTCATGGTCCAATTATAGAAAAAGCCCTCATAATAAAATCCCCCCCCCCCCCCCCCCCCCGGACTTTTTTTCTTCCCAGAATTCAATTTCTTCTCTGTGGTCTCTAAACAATATTACAGAAACCTTCAATTACAATCCATTTAAAGCCCTTCTCTTCTTACCTTTCCTCTTGTTTTCTCTCATCCTGGCTCAGTGTCTCTCAACTTCAAATTTAAGTAGGTTTAATAGCATTATCGTTCATTAATGGGGGAATAGGGTTCAAAACGCAGCTGTTTCTTGTGAATAAGAAAGCAAAGTTGCAAAGGTGTGGCCCGAATGCAGAATAAGACTGACTGACTGTGTTGTGTAAATCTGCTAAATTGGGTAGAAAAATTTCATTTGGCCTGAACTGAACAGTCAAAATTTGCAAGATCACCTTCAAATTCAAGAAACAAGGTGTGATTAATGAGTAAATTATTTGTTATGAACACCTGGTTGGCAGAATTACTCCAATGACTCAAGAAAAAAATAAGCTGTGATATTAGATTAAGCCTTCATTTCCAGGAATAAAAGATATCAAGTATAATAATAAAGCTGATATACAATCCCTGACGAATGTTTTAACCAAGAAATCTGAGTTACATCAGCACTGACTGAACCACACAGGAACAGGTTGGTTCTCTTTGGCTGAGGTTAGCTGATTCATGAAGAACCACCGGTTTCAATGGAAAATATGGTCAAATTACAGTACTTTATTCACATAGTGGCTGATTTTAGCTTCATTTTAAAGCCCAAGTCCCTCTTTTCTCAGCTGATGTGAAGAAACGCAACCTGTAAATATAGATCTAATAAACTTTTGTTTACAGCAAAATGACATTTGTAAATTCAGATTTATTTAACCCGTAATAAATTAGATTACAATTAAGATGGGTTGGAATAAATGGATTTTAACTGGAACATTAGCAACAAGATTTAAAGCTGTAATGGACTGAAATGATTTAGGTTACTTTCACCATCCATTACCAGTTTATAATAGTTTTAAGCTTAATCAAACTGTAATAAAATGAAATTCCATCTAAACTCTGAACACTATCAGCAGAATGAGGTCATGAATTCATCTGGAGATGCCTTTCTACACAGGAGACAGAAAATCCCAGTCTAAATTATTATCACAGCTCCAGCATGGGCTCAAATAGATCACGTTGAAATGTTTAAAGAGCAGCTTCACACAAAAAAAATAATAAAACTTTTTAAAATTATTATTTCTAATTATAATGGGTCACTCTGAGTTTTTCATGCAGGCTGCTCATGAAATGGGCTCCTACACCTATCTCCTGCATTAGCTTCTGATAGAAAATAGGCGGTGAAACGTTTTAAAAGCCTCACAGATCTACATCACACTGTCACCTAACATTCGTGGACTCTCCCATCATGGCTCGCGACGGGGAAGGTTGTTGTTGATGAAGCACCAGAGAACGTCACAGCTAGTAGAAGCTAACTGTTAGTATCAGCAACTCCACCACACAGCAGAACACCTCCAGAGTTGTGTTATTTATGGAGATAAAATATCAACATTGCAACACATACAGAGTCAGTGGTAGAGTCAGGTTACTGTTATCCAATCAGAAATGAGATGATCAAATGAGGAAATAAGATTCCAAATCCACTCGTGTCCATCCTCAAACAGGCTCACCGAAGCTTTTTCCGCCGCAGAGCACAGATTACAAGGCATTTATTCCTACTACAGAGAGCACTGCAAATGTGATAAAAATATGAGTAAAACTGGCTTTTAAAAAAATTCTGAAAATCTAACATACAGCTTTGGATCAGGCCCTTCTGGAAATATTGAACATTCAGTTTACTTCAGAGTTTGCTAATCCACCAAACCTCAGATTACATCAATTATGCAGATTTAAAATTTGGAAACACATATCAGTATACAAAAAAAAAGAGAGAAACAAGCACACAAAATGAATTGGTGTTTTAGTGAATTTTTTTTTCAGATATAAACATATCCGAAACCAATAAAGCAACATCTAATTTCTGTTAGATTTTTCTTTCTCACACGTTTTCCTTTTAGCACCATGTTAGCCTCTGAAACACAACGTATGGTTGTTATCTTCACCTGTACTTAGCTAACGCTGTTATCAGGCTCCACCTGGTGAAACCCCCATGAGCACCAGCCTACCTGTAACAAGTGTTGATTAGACTTTCATTTATCAGGCTGAGACGTGACGTGGTACCTTGGGTCTTTAGCACACCTGTTGTCACTGATCAAACAAGCCAACAAAACACTTTGTAAACTCCAGTTACATCACAGAGCTCAATTAAGCAATAGGGTTAAACTCTAAACGTGGATCACGATTGACAGTTAAGCTCAAAAATAATTTCAATTCCTAATTCCACACGCAGACTAAACAAACATGTCAATATTGTTGTTGTCATACGGCATAAATTAGGTTTGCTGTGATTTTCTAATGTTTGATTGAATCCTTTTGGTTTTCTAACAGTTGTATTTATCTGTGGACATTTTTATGTGAATAACATCAGCTTTTGTAATCCTTTTAATGTTTTTAAATGGTAAAAGGTGGTTGGTGAATTATGATAATAACAAACTAATGCTCAACACAAAAGCTCAACGGTGTCCTAGAGCACAAAAATATGTGTGACACTAGACACTAATGAAGGCTGGGGAGACATTCAGCCGGTAGATTAATGTGTTAACGAGACAAACACACAGCAAGGAGATGAGTTTTGCTTTCGGTTTTACAAACCGACACTAGAAGGTGCTAAGCCAGTACTACCTAGTTCCCCTTTAACTACCAATAACACATTTTTCCTGCAATATTTTGTTATTTGCAGCCATAGCATATTTAATAAATGTTTATAAAAGATGTGGTTTTGTTAACTATTGGAACACTGAGGACATAAAGTACCCCCACACGTAATAAACCATTCAACAGAGGAGCATAAACGTCTAACTGGCAGAAATACTATCTGTCTCTAAATGCAAATGATAAATCTTCTATTCTTTGCAAAATAACACTTCAGAGCCGCTTGAATCTTTCTATCAACCTTTCGACAGTTTTGAAAAAGTGCCTCAAAGCCAAATGAGCTTAAAGTGGACAAACAACACTTGTGTCAAGGAGAAAATAACTGTAGCGGGAAAATAATAATGTTATTACTGGCAAATGTGCTGTTTTCGAGCATGCAGTTCGTTTGTGTTTAGTTCAGATGCAGAAAAAATTGATTACGTTTGTTCAAACAGCCATAAACTTTTGGGAAAATTAACCCTGAGCTGGACTTAAGAGGGCTTCATGCTGAGAGCTTGGGAAAGCACACAAATATTGAGAACAGATGTAATTTTCCTTTGGTGTTTTTATTCTCCTACGGTCACGTCGGTTCTCTAATCTTATTAAGCCTGAGGCTTCCTTTTCATTTTAATGCATTAATGATTTGTTGTTTCTTTGAACATTTCAAATTAGAGTGCAGTTAATGGGGACACAAAGCAGCTGATGAATGTGTGCAGATTTTTTTTCTATAAGTGCACGTTAGGCTGAGATGTAATTTATTTGATTGTGACATCAGCAAACAGATGTGTTGACTAAGTAACCATAAACTATAATTTGTGTATTTCTCTAGTTATAGTACTTCTCTGAAAAATGAATAAAACCTCAACTCCCGTATAGAGCTGTATGAATAATAAAGTATGAATAATAAAAAGGGGAGTTCACATCTCTCCTTTATTAGCTTCCATACAATGGCTGCCTGTTAAATTCTGAATAGATTTTCAGATCCTCCTTCTCACATATAAAACTCTTAATAATCTAGCTCCATCATACATAGGTGATCTGATTGTTCCATATCAAGAATGTCTAAAAATAGGATGGGAGGCAGATCTTTTAGCTATCAGGCTCCTCTCTTGTGGAAGCAGCTCCTAGCTTTAGTCCGTGAGGCAGAGACCTTGTCTACTTTTGAGACTGGGCTTGAAACATTTTTATTTGATAGGGCCTATGGTTCAATTCTGATGTTATCCCAGATCTGGATGGGGGTGTAGAGGGAAGTGGAATGCACAGCTGAGAATACAGTCGGTAAAGTCGGCTCTCCCTTGCCCTGCCTCCAACATGCCTCCATCTAAAAGGCTAGATTATCCAGTGTTATCTCAGTAGTTTTGCTGCTATATCTTTAGACTGCTGGAGGACATACTGACCACTTTTCACACTCTACTACTGTATTCTACCACTTCTCTCTAATTGCATGATTTCCAACTAGCTGTTACCTTTATTTTCTCTATTTTCTGTGGGGGGGTGGGGGGTTATCTGTTTGTGTGGAGGTGCGGGTGTGGGTGTGTGCGTGTGTCTGATCTATCTTCTCAATCCCCAGTAAGTTGTGTGAGATGGCTGCTCATACAGAGCCAGGATCCTCTGGTGTTATTTTTCTTTTTTGGTTAAAAGGGAGTTTTACTCGCCACTGTTGCTACATGTTTGTTTGTTTGTTTGTTTGTTTGTTTGTTTGTTTGTTTGTTTAGATCCCCATTAGCTGCTGACATACAGCCGCTATTCTTCCTGGGGTCTCGTCTCATCTCATACAATCATTACATTTTATATACATACACGTATTGTGCACATCGTTCATACATGTCTATATACACACACACACACACACGCACGCACACACACACACACACACACACACACACACACACACACACAAACACACACACACACACACACACGCACACACACACACACACACACACAACTAATTTCAACATAAAATTGCAGTATAGAAAAATCACAATTCAATTCTCAAAAGCCCAAACATACCAAAATACATTCTTAAACCTTGAAATACAGCTCACTTCGAAAGATGTTTAGCTTGACATTATCTTTGGGAAAATAAAACTATTTGGAGTTTTTTCTGAAAACAT